TAATGAGAATGTTATTCTTCATTCTTACCCCTATGGATCACCATCTGGTTCTCTAGCCACCAGCAAGACCTGGTAAGAAAATTGTTATATTTAGCAGTGGCTTCTTTGTCTAACTCTGAAAAGCAGAAGCCTTTATTTCGAAATGGGTTAGAGAGTTCCTGGCAAGGGGGTCAGGGAGTCAGAGAGATGGAATTAAGTCCGTATACAGGATATTTGTCATGACTTGGCATTGATAAATTATCCTTGTAGTCAAAGGTGAAGCTGGGTGACTCTTGTCAGATGGTTTCCATGGCAAACAATAATTTGGTTTCAATTTAAAACAAAAAGTTTTTGTAATGTTGCTTTTTTGTTTAAAAATGTAGCCTGAGTTTGAAACAGAGGATTTATTTTAGCAATAGTGGTCTGTCTACTCCCTCACAGCAATGCAAATGTACATGTTTAACTAGTATTTTGAATTTCGAGTATACATTTGGCACATAGTAGCCTTAAGTTAACTATTCTGTTTTGATCACCTTGTTCAAATTAACAGCTTTGCTTTCTATGGCTTCTTTGTTTTCAGAGTTTTGGGCTGGCTCCTTCTGGTAGTTAGCAGGGGCAGTGAACTGTACAGAGTTATTCCTACTTGGTGCCTGCTGTGGCATTTAGGGGTATATTTTGTCCAGGATAGAGTTCACTTCTCATTAGTCCTAGAGTCGGAAAGCTGATGTTGAGAGCTTCACTCATCTCAGTTTTTCAACTATAATTCCACATTGACACTTGAAGTTTACTGCCAGCATTTTCTTTTGAACTCATTTCTTTGGTTTGGAATCTTTTCTCACTTTTTTGTCAATTTGTGTACTGTCTTTTTTTAGCTTTTATAGTTAGATGATTTTTAGCCAGCACTTTACTTGAACATTAAAAATCAAAACAAACAAAATTTAAAAAAATAAAAAAAATTGAGCTTAATATCCTCATTCTCAGCCATATTTTTATTAAATACTAAACTTGGATTAAAAACGTTTCACAAGTCTGATTTAAAACTCAGTGAAATTAAAAATTTGAAAGTATTTTTTAATGATAATGTATTAGTATATTAACTAATACTATATTGAGGACTTATATATTCAGTACATTACTGAGTTTTACATTTATCTCCTTTAATCCTAACAGCAACTCTGTGAGATATAGATGAAGAAAGTAGGTTTAGAGAGATGAAGTGTTTTGTCTAATTTTGTGTAGCTACTTGAATCCAGTTCTATCAGATCGTCAGCTTTTACTCTAAAACACTGTGTTATGTTTGTCTGATTCCCCCTCTCTGCTGCTGTTATTTCCTTATCCATGGCCTCCTTCGTCCTTCATTCTATCAGGCACTGCTCTGTAGTTCTCTTTGTTAAAACAGCTTTAGTGAGAGATGATTCACACATCATAAAATCCAGCCATTTCAAATGTATAATTCAGTGATTCTTAGTAGATTTAGAGTTGTGCAACCATCGCAATCCATTTTTGGAACATTCTCATCAATTACAGAAGATCCTTGTCCTAGATTTCTTTTATATTTTAAACATACTTCTTGAACAAAGAACCTATATCCTATGTCTTCTTCCTTCTTTAATATTCAGCTACTTAGCATGTTAGCCATTACTTATTATTCATTATACCTTTAAGTAGCTGTTATTAATTCCAGGGGCTGTATGAATGAATGAAACCAGAGAGTGAATCAGAATTTGATTTGGAGAGTTCAGCCATTATGAAGCTTGACCCCATAGTGGACTCTTCCTGTTTCACTGCATTACTTTCTATTTTCACCCTAAATAGACCATAGTATCTTTTTATGCTCTTTTACTTTTCAATTCCTGAGGCAGTTCTTCATTTTTTATTTAGAGTAGCTAAATTTTGCCTTTGGGTTTCAGTCTTTTTCTTCATTTATTTCACTTTGTTGTTCTAGGTGCCACTGAATTATTACTTTTAGCCCGAAGGACAGATTTGAGGCGCATTTCTTTGGATACACCAGATTTCACAGACATTGTTCTACAATTGGAAGACATCCGTCATGCCATTGCCATAGATTATGATCCTTTGGAAGGCTATATCTACTGGACTGATGATGAAGTGAGGGCCATACGCCGCTCATTCATAGATGGATCTGGTAGTCAGTTTGTGGTCACCGCTCAAATTGCACATCCTGATGGTATTGCTGTTGACTGGGTTGCCCGAAATCTTTATTGGACAGACACTGGCACTGATCGAATAGAAGTGACAAGGCTCAATGGGACCATGAGGAAGATCTTGATTTCAGAGGATTTAGAGGAACCCCGGGCTATTGTGTTAGATCCCATGGTTGGGTAAGAAGCTCTGCTGATGGAAAATTTTGCTTGGTGTTTCTGTTTTGTGCAGGTCCCTAAAAACATTGACAAAAACAATATGAAGTGTGTGTTGGTTTCCAATAAACAGCTCTTTAATGGATGTCCGTTATTAGAATATAGTGATTTGAATAAAATCTCAAGGAATTGCTAGTTTTTTTCCTTGAATGTTTTGAGAACTTTTTATTTCTAAATTAAGTCCATGCTTGCTAACTTTGGGTGTTGGCTGCAGATTTTGCCAGGGTTGCATCATGACCATGAAAAGTATGGAAAGCAATTGTTTTCAGAACTTTTTCTTTTCCCATAAAAGATTTAATTTCATCCCACTTTCAGTATTTCTAGAATGATTTGTTAAAGAATACATCTTACTTTAAATATCCTCAAATATATGAATGACTCGATTTCTAAAACTTTGTCAGACCATGCAGCTTTACTCCCAGACTTTGCTTTGTTTTGTTTTGTCCATACCACCCTGACCACAGTCCAGGGAAACACAGCTACCTACCCAGCAATGTTATGTTATTTTACTTATTTATTTATATTTTTATTTTTTAAAATTAATTAATTAATTAATTTAGCAGACGATTAGCCCTGAGCTAACATCCACTGCCAATCCTCCTCCTTTTGCTGAGAGAGATTGGCCCTGAGCTAATGTCTGTGCCCATCTTTCTCTACTTTATATGTGGGATGCTTGCCACAGCATGACTTCATAAGCGGTGCATAGGTCCATGCCTGGGATCCAAACTGGCGAACCCTGGGCCACCAAAGCAGAGCTCGCGGACTTAACTGCTATGCCACTGGGCCAGTCACCCAACAAGTGTTATTTGTTACTATGAGATTTATTCTAAGGGCAAACATAGTGGCAAATTATTACACGTCAGTGTGTGCCAATGCCTTAGAGCCGGTTAAACTCCCATGAGCCACAAGAATCACTTAGCACTACAGGAAGAGTTTGTGATTTGGGGACTTCAGTTCATCATCTGAATATTACTACTGGGATAACCTTTTTTGTGTCAGAGATGACAAGGCAGCCAGAAAAAGAGGATTGTTCTTGGGAAGGAGCACAAAATATTTTGAATAAACATAACTAAAAATGGAATCTCATTTTTGGAAGGCGTTTTCATTATCAGTTCTAGAAAACACTGATCTGAAAATTTCCTATAAGCTTATAGACTGCTATTATAAGTGTCTTAAACATACTCTTGGTATGTTAAGGTTCAGTGTTTTTTTCCTTCTATGTTGTTAACTGATGATACGAGTGTAACATAAAGGATGGATCACACCTTTAAAATATCTCCAAGTTACAATTTATCATCTGTTTTTAACTCACTTTCTGTTTACTTCTATAGGTACATGTATTGGACTGACTGGGGAGAAATCCCAAAAATTGAGCGAGCAGCTCTGGATGGTTCTGACCGAGTAGTGTTGGTTAACACTTCTCTTGGTTGGCCAAATGGTTTAGCCTTGGATTATGATGAAGGCAAAATATACTGGGGAGATGCCAAAACAGACAAAATTGAGGTTTGTGTCTTGCTTTTTCATTTTAAAACTGTTTTATAGTAGTTTTTGAGTTGATAGTAATTTGATACAGATATTCTTGCCTCCTGTCTGGGATGCCAAAGGTATCTTTTACAGAACTTTTACTCAAGCTTCAGGATTCTGGGGATTATGTATTTTCTTCCACCTAACCATAGGATTTCTGAGTTTTACAGGCATGAGAAATGGGTGTTCAGCTCTAAAAAGCATACATAAATTATTTGCCTCTTCATAAGTAAAGCCACTGCCTGAATTTCCTAAGGGCGATTTCTGCACAAACCCAAATACTATATAAGATCTATACTAGAAGAGCTGATAGTCATATGAGGAAAACAGCCCATATGTGTATATATAGCTATTTTGTTGTTAGTGGTGTTGGGGGTAGGTGGTGGCATATATTAAGTATTAATATGCAAACAGTTTTTAAATTGATTTGTGGGCTGCATGGGAGAAAATTAATTAACCAAAGCTTGGGAAAAAATATTTCCCAAATGACAGAATTAAGTTGTGGCCATCAGAATAGAATTATGGTAGAAACAACCAGTGGTGAATATTTTATCACAATGTTTTGTAAAAGGCATATGTCCTTGATATTGATTTTGAAGTCTAAATTTCACAACTGTGAATTAGGCTTGCTAGAGGTCTTGTGGATCACATACTTAAAACAGAGTTTTGATTATGATTTTCTTTCGGGGGATGCATGTCTTCTCGTGTAAAGAATGGCTTTGAATGCCTCTTCAAAGCCACAGCACATATCTCCTAGTAGATAATTTGGGCTCTAGAGCAGTTATTTTAGAAAGGTAATTCTTAGGAGTGCCCAGGACTCGGAGGGAGTAATGAATTAAAGGGTCTTTCTTTCAGAATGAAAACTTGGAATAGAAGAAACCTACTCGTATTCCACCAGGCTCAAATATGGAAAACTAAGTCTCTTATTCTTGCAGCTGGTTTCCATTAGTAGAAAATTTTGCTTAGACATAACTATATACATTTTCTCCCTGTTAGTGTTTCACTGCTTCCCCTCCTTAAATCCAAGTTAGTGTTTGAATCTTTAACAGCTGGAGTGCAGTGCTGAAAGAAAGGTTCTGGGTTTACTTTTCAGACAGGCTGCTAGCTCACTTGGGTCAGCTTGAGTACAAATTGTACACTCATTCCCAACCAGTTCACAAATGTATATTGTTGATCATCTGTGGACTATACATGAGTATATAGGTATTACTACTCTTAGAAAAATGCTTTAAAGCTCTTCGAAGAATGTCTGTATGTAAGGGGAGAGCCCATAATTTACAGTAGGGAAGAGCACTTGATTTATTATTTTGTAGGGATTTTTAAAATTCCATATTTGATCTTGTCGTTTTTTTTGGCTTATTATGACTGATTGATTTGATTGTAAATAAAACATTTGTTTCTTACTGGGAATTTTTCAAGTCTTATTTTTCCCCAGTTCAGGTTACTTTTAGCACTTTAGATAGAGAAATTTGTTCAAAATCACAAATAGTTGAGGAGGGATTCAGGTAGAGGAATGAGAATTCATGGAGATTCTGAGTGACAATGTTTAAGAATAAAAATGAATACACATTATGCAACAATATATAATATTGATTAAAAGGATTTATTTTCTTAGCCTGCAGTGAGTGCAGATCTTAAAATTAGTATTCATTCTTCCTCTTTGTTCTGTCTTCTTGAGCTATACATGTGTATGCAGTGGTATCATTTGCTCCCTCACTTCCTTCTTTCTTCCTTCCCTGAGTAGCACCAGCATCCTTAAACCTGCCCTTCAAATCTGTTTTCTCTTCTTCTGGATTTGCTTGAACACAGCTGCTGTTTGTTCTTTGTCCTCTTTCTGACAAACTTGGAGTTTGTTTGGAGTTAGTAGTAAATCTACTGTCACCAAATTATACACACAAAGACCTCCCCTTATTATTTCCCCTGGAGATTCTGATGAAGTTTCCTTAATTGAACAGCAGTACTTTTGCCATTTTCTTTTCACAGACACATCTGGAAAATAAAAAGAGCAGAAATCGTTATTTTTCCCGTTCTTATGATGTGTAAAATTGCTGGTACGTGGCAAACTAAGGAAAGAGCACAGCTCTTCATCTAAATAAATCTTGCGTATTTGGGGGAGAAAAACTGTTAGTTTCCCTTTCTGAAACTAGTAGTGATTTTAGGAGCAACTGCCACCACCAGTTTTTCATCTCGCTTTGCTTGATAGTAGATGGATTATAGTGCACTTTAAAACTTTTGGAAAGATGTATACTTTTAAAAATGCTTCTTTTAGGGGCTGGCCCCGTGGCCGAGTGGTTAAGTCCGTGCGCTCCGCTGCGGGCGGCCCAGTGTTTCGTTGGTTCGGGTCCTGGGCGCGAACATGGCACTGCTCATCAAGCCACGCTGAGGCGGCGTCCCACATGCTACAACTAGAAGGACCCACAACGAAGAATATACAACTATGTATGGGGGGGCTTTGGGGAGAAAAAGGAAAACATAAAATCTTTAAAAAAAAAAAATGCTTCTTTTATTAAGATTATTTGCTAGCCTCTTGTTAGGTAGCAGCTGATCCTAGGTACTGAGGACCCTAGGTCACATGCTCCCGTCTAGTCCCATCCTCTTAAGAAAGCTCTCCAGTTTTTATCATGCTCAAAAACGGAAGCAGCTTTTTCCTGGGACAGTAAGAAAAATCAGATTATGGTTGAAATAGCCCTGTTCTCTTCTGAAAGACTTACGGCTTACTTGGGATCAAACTGCCCTATATGTGATTATAGCACATTTGGGAAGAAAAGATAATTATTTGGTAGATTATTATGTAGCAATGTAAGGCATAGTAAGCTCTTGTATTTTGAGTGGAATTCATGGGAAGAGCTCAGAATGTTCCTTTGCTTATGCTCTCTGCTCCCTTAAGGGAGATTCCTTAGATCAGGTTCTCATTCCCTTTTTTTGTAAGCGATGGTGTAACCAGATGCTGGATATTTTGGGGAGCATAGTCTAAGGATTAGGGAAACCAGAGAAAAGTAATGGGGAGCTCTAGGTTTCAGACTCGCTTGTCATTCTGCCGAGTTGCATAAAGAACGAGTAAGTTTACCTGAGGTTTATAACCAGCTTCTGCAAAGAGGGACAGAGGGAATTGCTAATGATGTCATATTCTTTACGACATAGTCCTGTTTAGTGCTTTAATATAAGATTGCATCTGTGAGGTTATGTTGGATTTCCCTTGTCAGCTAGTAGTGACAGCTTATCTGAAGGTGTTATTTAAAAGATACATGCTGTTACTTGTTTATGTTTCTTCTTCATTATGCTGAAGTTATTTCACTGCTTTTTACAAGCAAGCTTCTAGTTTACTTGTCCACACTGGGCTCCCCCCACCCTCCTTCCCAAGTATTCCTGTCGTGTTCTGAGGCTTCTAGATAATAAATACTAAAGCATTAGCAGAAAGGATAATTTCTGTTTTCTGATAGGGGAAGCATCAAACAGGCCTTTATTTCTGTTTTATAAGAACCTGCAGTAAGCAGAAGCACATTGCGTCCTAACATTCTCCTTTTTCTCGGTCAGGTTTCACTGCCAAAAATGTCTTCTGTACTGAGCACCTGCAGTACTGCTTAGCAATAGCAAATACGAGTTATTGAGAATTTCTAAGTTTAAAGCATTTTCTTGCTATTATATAAAGTTAAGAATGTACTAGTAGCTTGTATTTTCTTGAGAATGCTTTTCTCATGACATACCAATTTAACTGATTGACAAAGTTAATGTGTTGTAAATCACTGGTTTTACTGAAAATAATAATATTGTGATAGCTGAATTTTTCTCACAGTGTATTTTTTCTTTATATACTTATTTCATCCCCCCCCCCCCCAATTCATTTCTGAGCCTCTGCTGACAAATGCCAGCAAGACCTGAAAGTTATAGGTAAAAAGAGAGATTTTCTTATCTACTTTAAGGACAGATAGATTTGTTTTGAATCTCTCTTATTGTAAATTTCCCTACTTTAGAGCCCAGATTTAATTATACCTGGCACAACTTTTTTGGGAAGCAGAAACAGAGATTATTAGAATGTTGAGTACCAAGAAATTTTGAATAAAGAGGGCATTATTGTATAGGATGTGTGCTGAAAACTTGGCATTTGGTGAATGTTCTATTTTATATTCTAAACCTGAAATTGCAGGGCTACATTTTCCTCTGATGACAACTTTATTTTATCAATACCCTAATAAGGAAGTTTGTTTCCCAAGTATTCAGATTTCTTTTTAAAGTAACTTCTTTGTCTGGCATCTTTAGCCTCTGTATTGTGAAAGTCTGTTAAAACACACCAAAGCCCATTTATGATGATTTTTCTTATTGTTTGTTTCTAAGATTCCTCCTTAAGAAATTATAGTAATATAGTCATCTGTTGTTGAGATAAAGCTCTTCTGATAATATAACAAATACCAGCAAGTACGTCCTCTTGAATCTTTGCCGGTTTATAACATTCAGTGTTCCTTAAAATTGTTTATTCTTTCAGTTTTAGAGAAGTATTCAAGATGATAAACTTAAATACCTGAATCTTTGCCCATTTCTACTACTTTACCATGCTATATGTATGTATGTATATGAATATATAGTTCCCCCCCACATCTTATTGACATGTAACAGAAGAATGATATTGATAATACCTAGATTTGGGGCCTAAATTCTTTGAGCTGTAAACATGGTGCTGTCCTATTATATCATCTTACATCTGTTTGGAGTGTATCTTATGATAATGTATTTGTGAACTCCTATTTGAAAGTTACCTGTTGATGTACAATGCTAGCAACATTATTTAACTTGTTATAATCTACAGCAGCTGAAATCATACATCATCCAATTATATGCTGCGTTATCTTATTATCCACTCTACTTTGTCTGGCTCTAAAGAAATTATTGCACACATATGATGAGAGAAACTTGCTTGATGATAGGTGTAATCATGCTTTCCTGAACTACCACAACAAACCGTAGAGCCTTACCAAACAAGATGCTTTGCCTCACTTGGAAGTTAGCATAGTTTATCTATGTAAATTATTATAATAATCTGTTGCATGTTGGTACTTAGAAAGCATTTTAGTAACCAAGTTTGAACTTGCTCTTGGATCATTTTTTAAATGTTCTGCTGGTACACTCTTTCTTCCCATGTTTTATTATAAAATCATTTAATATGTCTGGAGATATTTTTAGTTTCAATCTGATTATTTTAAAAGTACTTGTTTTATTCCTTTGGTTTTTTTATTCAAGTAAAAGAGTATTGATTTTAATGTCCTACTTTCTTGAGTAGAGAGGTCACCTCTTAACAATTGATAATGATGTTTAATTGTTATGAGTGGTAATCTCTAGATCTTCATTGAAACATTTTATAATATTGGACCCTGACCTTAATTCCTGTTTGATTTTGCCATTTAATTAGGTGACATTAGATAATTCACTTAATTTCTGGTCTTTGTATTTTGGCCAGTAAGTTCATTTGAACCAAGTGATCTTTAGGTTCCTTCCTGTTAAAACATTTTCTGATGTTTTTTGTACTAACTTTGCATCTTATGTTAAGAACAGATAGTACATTATGCTTTGGGAGAGTTGCTAAAAGGAAATTAATATTGCAGATAACCTGGAATATTTTCTTGAAACTTTTCCTTATTTACTGTACATTGAATCCCTGTTACCTAAAGAAAACTTGCCTGTTGGGACTTCAAAATCTTTGGTAACTCAGTTTTACTGGAAGCAACTTCTCCTGATAAGATATTCATTTAGACTTCATGTTGACCTGTATACAAGCTGCTTCATTATTAACTTGCTTGGTAGATTTAAGTAAATGCTTAAAGCTATCATTTGAAGGCTACCAAACATGTAAATGTTTTTTTACTAATGGAGTTCATGTGAAACATTATTTGTTTCAGGAGGTTGTTTCTCTATAGATAGGAAACTATTACACTTTTAAAGGAGTCGTAGAGATTTTATTGTTTTTGGAAGATTTGGAAAGGATAGACAGGTAATGGAAAGGACCACAGTTTGGGGACTTCTTAGGAGGGAATTTGCAAAACATTGGGCCTTTAAAAGTGACAGGTATTTTAATTTCTTGTTCCAATTTAAAGTCGCCATCAGCTATTAAGAGATTCTGTGTAATAGTCCTTCTTAAAGTTATCCATAATGAACAAAGGATTCTCCTTCTGTTTTTTTCCACTTTAAGTGTAGTCTACAATTTAAAAATTTAGACCTGGTAAGAATGTTATAATGCAGGCACTGTAATTTTTTTGTTGAACTCTAATATATTTCCAAAAATCTGCACTCATTGTAATGTAATTTGGTTTTTTAAATTAGATTTGATCTGAAATAACTAAATCTAGAGAAGGATTAGAATTCCTTTTATCGTACTGAGATTTTCAATAGACTGGTATTTGTTTAGTGTTTCATTTATAATTTTGAGCTTCTGCAATCTGCCAGACTTCTGGAGTTCGTAAGTAGGAATGAAATTAGAGGCTTTATGCCATTAATATAGCCCCTATTCAGAGTGTTTTGCTTTTGTTGTTCATGTATTTTTGATTTTCGGTTGAAAATGACTTGACTTTTATATTTGGTTGAGATTTGTAATAATTGCTTCTGTGTTTTAGTTACAGTGTTGTTCTTAAAATCTGAAAAAAATCTTTCTGTGCTAGAACAGATTTCTTCAGTCCACAATAGTAAATAAATGTTTTATGGGTTTTCAAAGTGTTGTTGCCTTTGAGTAAAAGAAAGCTGTTTTCAGATCTCCTAAAATTAGCTATTGTTTCTCGATAGTGCCATGTGCTCACAAACATTTGTTCTTTCTGTCCTAGGTTTCTCTTCCTAAAACTCAGCAGTGCTTGGTGCCTTTTGCTTGGTTAGCTTCTTTTGTCTACGGTCACGTAGCTTTCTATTTAGAAAGAAAAGATTGGAACTGAAGTTTCCTGATTGCTAATGCAGTACTTTTTGTGTTGTCCTCTGCTGCCTCTTTTTTAGGGGGTTCATTTTGAAATAATTTC